CCTCACCCTCAATCCCCAGACCAACCCCTCATAGTCCTAAACCCGAAACCCTACCTAAACCTTAAGCCCTAAACCCTAAACCCTTATAGGAACACTTATGAACTTAGGTCTATGCTGCTGCTTTGGCTCGTGTCCCTACGGCGTGAGGCCTTCGAAAGGGTATGGGAAATGCTTGGGTTTAGGGCTCCTTTAAAAGGATGGCTTAACCACATGGGTGGTTGTCAACATTGGGGTCCCTTTTGGGGTCCGTACTATAATACGGCACCTATTATTTAGACCATAATTTTGACAACCACCCACATTTTGAAATGAACGATGAAATGGTGAATTGGTGAAGTGGTGAGGGGGCCTAACCACATGGGGGAAACGAAGGGTGAAATGGTGAGGTGGGCCATCCATATGGGGGCGATGAACGGTAAAATTGTGAAATGGTTTGGATTTTTCAGGACAGTGAGGAAACCTGGGGCGGGGGGGTGGGAGATATTGTTTACGTATACACATTTATCTGTGTTCATATTCTTATATACACATAGAATGGCTCATAGAACGGATTTCTATTAAGTATGACAGCTTCCATATACACACATGGCCAAACACGCAAGTAGTCTTGGATGGCGCCGTGCTTCGACATGTTCACTCTCAGGCTTTCGCGTCGGCAAGTCGAAGATCGTTTGAGCGTCAAAACTCGAACAAGTCTGCGCGGTTTTGGATATATAGCTTTAGCTCCCTATGTCACCCTTGGATGCCGTGCGCAGGCACTGCTTCCATCCAGTGGCGGCGCAAATCGAAATCTTCCTGGGTTTGAGCTGATCTTCCAGGCTTCGCTATGTCCTGAAAAATCGCAACCTGGAAAGTCTCAGTTTCGGGTTGATAAAATTACAGAAGGAACTTCAACAAGTCTAGACTTTCGATTCCTTGGAGGCTATCAGCGCAGCCCAACACGCTAGGACGGATGTGGCCATCGACCTCGTTGGATTGTCCACTTCCTTCGTCACAACATCCGTAACCTTGCGCATCTCTGTGCTGGAGTGGCCGGGGCAATGCCATGCCCGAAACCTTATAGTCTCAATCGTCACTGATCTCGGCCACTCCAGGCACAGCCCTGTACAGCTGGCGCGGTATGTGTTTCTTTGGGCCATCAACCTGCATACTATAGGGCCTAAATCATTACCAATACCATTTTGCGGGTTCCTTATCATGGTTATAGTATAATGGGCCCCAAAACTCGATTCCAATTATTAAGGCCTCTATATGAAACTTGCATGACCATCTGCAGGGCTTACTTTGCGGTTTAGACTTCCGTACCTACCCAGAGCCTGGTCTTGTAGGATATGGTCCTTGCTCTGGAGGTCGGTAGCATACCCCGTAAGGATCTAGAAAGTAGATCCCCTAATTTGGGGCCCTTTACTACTACGGGTACTTTTTTGGAACCCCCATTAAGGGATCTACTTTTGGGATCCTCCCGGGGTCTGGGTGCTCGCAGCGCCTAGAAGTTGTTGGAAGCTTGACTGATAAGCCCAAAGCCCAAAATCCTTTTCTGGACCATGAGATCGTTTAATATACCTCAATCATTCTCAAAATCTTACTACACCCTATCCTTAAAGCGCTACTATACCGCGATATCCCCAAACCCTACTATACCCCGAAATCCTGAAACCCTACCATATATACCCTGCATTCCTGTATGTATACCCTAAACCCTGCAAAGCCCGAATATCCCGTGAGCTCCGAAAAGCCGAAGCACCAATCCCCGAGACCCAAGAGGTTTAGGGTTTAGGGGGTTGAAGGGGGGTTTAGGATTTAGGGTTTAGGGTTTAGGCGGTTCAGCGTTTAGGGTTTAGGGGGTTTAGGAATTAGGGTTTAGGGTTCAGGGGGTTTAGGATTTAGGGCTTAGGGTTCAGGGTTCTAGATAAGATTTGAGCACGGGCCCGAAACACGCCACTGAGCCTAGAACCAAACATACGGGTCGGAATACTCAGACATAGTACCCCCTTTTATCGTCGCTATGCAGCTATCATCATCGCATATAGTCTTCCCTAAACCCCCATTCTAATGCCCCCTATATCAGATGGCTCGAGCGATGGCTGTTCTTGTTATAGGGGTCTTCGATACAATGTTCAGTCAAAAGCTGGGCTGCGTCATGCATGCGCAAATAGATGGGCACGTAAGCAAAGCCGACATTTTAACAGTGGGTCGTATTTTGCTAAAGGCAAGCCGACTTTGATAAATGCTCCCTAAACCCTAAACCCTAAACCCTAAAGCAAGTTGAGGCCCTGGTCTGCTGTCACCTCAGATTCCTTTTGTTTAGGCCGCCCGTGGCCTGAATACACTGCTACAGACGACTGTCCAGGGTCGGAGTGCGGATGCCTGCGGGACACAGTCGTTTCTGCTCAAGTTACAGGATTCGAGGGATTTACGTGCCCCGGCCAAATGGAGTCAGTTTTAACTTGTATAGGTACATGCCTATATGCCTGTATCTTATCTACGGACTGCCCTGACCTTTCAAAAAGCCAGGGGAGAGTGTCCCCCACGCCATTGGAACTTGAACATTGCTCCCGAAACCCTACCCCTAAACCTCACATGGGTGGCCGTCAAAATTATGGTCCCTTTTTGGATCCCTATTATAATACGGCACCTATCATTTAGGGTACCGTAATTTGGACAACTACCCATATAAATGTTAAACCCGGAACCCTACACTCTGATAGAAGATCCGGAAGCACCATGTTTGTTGGAGCCCCCACTTACCCGAAGCGGCCTTTAGCGCTATTTGCAGCATCAGCTTGCTTAGCCCAAAGATCGAGGGCAGAATAACCGTGCAAAGCAGTAAGTGAATTCCAAGATCAGTCCAAGATCTGAACCTTGAGTATATGGGAGTTTCCGAAAATGGGGGACCCTAATATAGGATCCTATATAACAGGATCCTTATTATAAGGACCCCAAATAAGGTACCCCTAATTTTTGGAATCCTCCCATATAGTGTTTTGTCGCAGATTTCCCTAGCCCTAGTCTTTCTTGTTGACAGTCCGAATATGGCTTCTGCAGCTCTGGGTTGTGCACCTTTTTACTAGTTCGTCACTACCCACGTATAGTCAGTGCATTCAGTCACTCAGCACAACGCACCCGACCCGATTTGACGTACTTCACTGCACTCCCTACACCGATTGAGGCAAAGGCAGTTTTCAACAGCAGAATTTGTAGGACTGGGCAATGAACTAACGCAGAACTGTAGTTATGGACCCACGGAGCTCAAGACACAAGAGTCGAATTTATTTGGCAAGATCAAGTACGCTCTCCTACACCTTCCATACTACAGTGAATACTGTACCAGAGTGAAAACCCCTCTGAGAAACGAAAGAAACTTTCGAAGTGTTCAAGCCCCCCAGATTAACGTGTTTTTGGGAAGGCCATCGACGCTCCATTCAATCCCACGAAGCCCTAGACTAGAATCCCAAAGGTTGGAAACCCAGTAGCCTCAGTCCTTAAGAGTGATGTATAGGGGATCCCAGCACTACTTGTCCTTGAACAGGTTTCCAACTTTTCGGGGTTCACTATAGGCCCCAGCCCTAAACCCTAAACTCTAAATCCTAAACCCTAAACCCTAAACCGGGTTTACTGTAGTAGGCAGAGCTTCTTTCTTTCCGGGTGTAGGTTTCGAGTTTACGGTCCAGGGCCGAACATGTAAGCTAAACGGGTTTCGCGTTTCAGGTTTAGGGTTTAGGATTTAGGGTTTAGGGTTCAGGGTTTAGGGTTTAAGCTTAACGGGTTTAAGGTCTGGGGTTTAGGCTTGGGTTTGGAATGATTCGCATTATAGCTTTACTTCTGGTTCTGACCCCTTTACTCGATCCCCTGATTGGCACAGTAACGGAACCGAAGCCCAAAAAGCCAAAATCATGTGCCTGTCCTCTTCGGGAGTGGCTGGAAGTCCTGCCTGTGCATAAGCCCCGGTGCAGGAAACATGCTGAGTGGCCTCTCTACTGTCTTCCTAATTCATGCTTCGGTGTTAATGTGTGGTTATCGGTGTCAAGACAAAAGGCTCATAGCCTTGGGCCCCCTTCAGCATGCTAATGTCATGCAGTTCAGACTATTTGAGCATCTCTCTTTTTAAACGTTGATACCTCGACTTGCCCCTAGCATATGTGATTGCTGCAAGACTTGTCGGTACCCAGGACGTGAGATACTTTTTAGATGAAGATCCCGGATGTCTCGTGTTTGGAGCAGCTGTCATCTGACATCGCAGTGAAGCCCATTGCTCACATACCCCAGTGCCCGAAAATGGATGGAAGCCTGGTGCAGTCCTTCGGAAAACACAAGACGCGCCAGAACCCCAATCCCTCAGCTGACCATGTTAACCTTCCCAGCATAACTACAAGTCCGTAGCCTTAAGTTCTTGCAACCCATACCTGGGCTAGGATCGTGGGACTTAGTAACTAGGCCTATATAGGTACAGTAACTATAGTTACACTTACTCATAATCCCCATTAAAGTACTTACTTATAGCTATAAGTCCTATGATCTCCCTAAACCCTAAACCCTAAACCCTAAACCCTAAACCCTAAACCCTAAACCCTAAACCCTATCCTATGATCTTCTAAGTACTCTCCATCTTTGGGCTCCTTACTCACTGCTGAGCGTACTGCGCAGTGACAGGCCGAGCTGTCTTGTTTCTGCTGTGCCAAGCCTCGCCACCTGACCGCTCCCAGCCGAGGCGCTAAAAGGAGATGTCGCGACGGGTCCAAAGGACCTATAATAATTAGGCACTTGGGTTTAGATTAATCATTTCGGTCAGTATTTGGGTTGATTATGTGACCGTTTTAGACACCAGGGAGTTCCAGCTTGAGATGGTTGTGAGATTTGCTATTGGGATGAAAGTGGGGGAATCAGTTGGCTCCCGCGCTGAAGCATGGCTTGTGCCGCAAGGGGTAGATATCTGTTTGTCAGGCTACTGGTATCAGGCTATGCGATGAGCCAAACCTATGTGCCCGGGGACTGAATTGCAGGTACGCTCTTGTTACGACCTGGATGTCCTCCAACGCAGGCGCGCCTGCAAGCTCTTTCCGACAAAGCCTTGAGAATCCGTGGCACAAAGCATCATGCAAGAATTCTTCAGAACGATGCTCATGATTGGTACTCACTTCTGCTAGACTTGTACAAGGAATCAGCTCGCATATCATCCAAACCCTTCACCATGAACCCAGAATCTTGGGAGGATCCAACAAGTAGATCTCTGACGGGGGTTCCTGAATACAACCCTGTAGTAGCATAGGGTCCCAAATTCGGGAGATCTACTTGTCGATCCTTTCGGAGGTGTTGGGAATAGATATGCCATAAGCTGCCTGGCATCCCTTGCCATCCGCTGGGTCTCTACTCACAGGATGATGGGACTTAGTAACTAGGGTTCTAAGTATCACTTATAACCGTATAGTTACTACGTCCCATGACGGACATAGATCACCAGACAAACGGTGCAGGGCTCAAGGTTTTTGCTATAGTTACTTATCGTCCCAATGAAGGTACTCATAACCTTTCTTACTTTGTCTCATGATCCTCCAAGTATGTACAGGACCGTCCAGTTAAGGATCAATGTCAGTGCTTGGCAAATGCTCGCATTGGCTCCTTTAGGACCCCCCCCCCCCCCCAAGATGGTTTGGGCTCTGCCAGTAAAACCCCAACCCTGACTCCCCCAAACCCCAAGACCCAAACCTGGGCCCAAAGCCCTCAACCCCATCCCTAAACCCTAAACCCTACAGGAACCCCAAACCCCCAAACCCTTGAAACCCTGAACCCTCAACAGCCCGCAAAACCCCAAACCCCCAAACCCTTGAAGCCCTAAACCCTCAACAGCCCACAAAACCCCAAAAACCCTCAGCCCTAAACCCTCAACAGCCCACAACCCTAAACCCTAAGCCCTACATGAACCCCAAACCCCCAAACCCTCAACATCCCACAACCCTAAACCCTAAATCCTAAGCCCTACATGAACCCTAAACCCTCCACAGCCCCACAACCCTAGATTCAGACCAGTGGGCTTCCCCAGGGTCTCTGCAGCCTCCACCAAGGACTCCAGGCTTCCTGGTGCTGTTTAGGGTTTAGGAGTTTAGGGTTTAGGGTTTTAGGGTTTAGGGTTTAGGGTTTAGGGTTGAGGGTTTAGGGTTTAGGAGTTTAGGGTTCAGGGTTTAGGGTTTGAGGGTTTAGGGTTTAGGGTTGAGGCTGGCATTGAGGGTTCATGTATTTACATACGTGTGGATACAAACAAACAAACATACATACATACATAGGTAGGTATGTATGTACGTCTGTATGTAGGCATGCAGGGATGTATGTAAGTATGTACATATGTACGTTGGTACCTGTGTATGTACCGATATACCGATGTGTGTGTGTGTATATATATATATATATAACTTCGGGTTTCAGGGCTTAGGGTGCTGGGTTAGGTTGTTTGTCCTTTTCTGTTTGTTGGGCGTGGTGAGGGTTAGCAATGAGAACGAAGGAGTCTGTTAAACTTGACAGGGTTCTGAGAGATCGTGCAGGCTTGCGGGCGGCGCTGTAGGACTTTACAACTCCACGTCACGGTACACGTCTGTCTGAAGACCTTGCTTAGCAGCCCTCACATGGCAACCGTCATCAGGGGAGGCCAACAGAATATTCCAGACCTGGAGGGCGCAAGGTGTGAGGAGTTAATCTAGGGGTTGCGATTGCAAGTCCCCCGCTTGAGGGCTTTCCAGATGTGCATGGCTGTTTTCAGTGTCCTTAACATCGGCAGCATCATTAGGCAATATCATGCTCATCATGTTGCCCTCCAGCGTCCCTGCACACGGAACATATCCCTGCTGGCAAGACTTAACACCCCTGAAACCCTAGAAGCTTTCACTCGTAAATCCCCAAACCCTGAGTTCGCTACACGACTGTTTAAATTCTCAAGCCTAAACCCCCTAAACCCTAAACACTAAACTCCTAAACTCCACGGCAGACATTCTGCATTAGGAAGCCACAGCTCCTAAACCTTGAGAAGGGGGCCCATTAAACCCTGCCTGCGGATTCCACAGCCTACTGTTGTAAGGGCCGTGCCGTGCCCTAAGGGACCATAATTAGCTCAGTATTTTGCAGGGTTTGGGGCGACAGGTCACCCTATGGTAAACCCCCAAACCGGCAAAGAAGCATCAAAACTCTATACCACGAAAGCCCCTAAACCTAAACCTAAACCCGAAACCCCTAAACCTCTAAACCCCTACACCTATACCCTTCAAATGCCATTATTGAAACGCCTAAACCCCTAAACCCCGAAACCCAAAGCCATCCAGTCCTAAACCCCCAAAGTGCTAAACCCCTATATAAACCCACCCGCCAGGTGCTGGACCGGGGCCGCGTCTGAAACTTCACACGTCCCGACCACAGTCCTGGTCTCAGAGACGGGAGTTTGCAAGGCTTGGTTTATGGTTCAGGGTTTAGGGTTCAGGGTTTAGAGTTTAGGGTTCAGGGTTTAGGGTTGAGGGTTTAGGGTCTAGGATTTAGGGCTTAGGGAATACAGGAGCTTGAGATATTCTTTGGGATTCCTTGAAAGGGTTCTTTAAAGGGATCTATAGCATAGGGTTCTACATTAAGGGAACTATGCAGAGCCTAAACGAAAATATCGAATAGGGTTCCGTTAAGGGTTCCTTTCAAAGGGGTCTACACGGATTACTATAAGGGGTAATAGGGGGGGTTGGCATAGGGGCCTTAATAATTCCTTACTGTACTATTTTGAGGGCTCCTTATAAGGATAGTCTAATGGCCCCTAAACCCTTTTGTAATACGGCCCGAAAAGTAAATGCATAAACCTAGAGGTCCACTAGTAGCCATATAGAATATACTAATGTAAACCCTTTGGCCCAAAACTAATCGCATAATCCTAGGGGTCCATTTTGCCAGAGAGTGCGCGTACTTTGGCCTAAAGTACCTATACAAGGACCACTCGAAGCCAAAGGTGTGTACTACGCGAGTACAGGGACCCTCAGTGTAAGCGTTCTTCTTCTGCAAGGGTTATGCAACAGGGTTCCAGACAGGTACTATAATGTTTTTCGTGTTGCGGGGCTTGAACTTTGAACCCCTAGGACCCGGAGTAAGCCCTTATTCCCTTTTTGGTGGTTTAGGTTCCCTTATAACACCCTTTAAAACCGAAAACGGGCACCCTGTTTATTCCTAGGTTACTCTTCAGTCTAGACTCTAATGCTTGAGAGTTAGAGGCGGCTTAGCGGAGCGGGCCTGGGTGGGGGCTTATTTCTGGTTGCACAAGGTTGTCGGGTTCTGGGGTTAAGGCTTTCATCAGTCAAAATCGCTTTCTACATATATGCATACACATAGTACTATATCTATACAACTATGCACCTTGGTGCACGGTGCACTTGTGTTCCATAGGCATCAATTGTTTCGTATGCATGCGTGCATCTACATGCCTCTGCATGTGTGCATCTGCGCATTGAACGAAGGATCTGGATCGCCATAATCGGTCATGCAGAAGCCTTGAGCGTCATTCCCTGCCGCCGAGAAGCCATCATGAAAACAAAAGTTTGTGGTGTGCATCTAAGGCCCAGCACAACCTTGGCGTGCGCCGGCAGGGTGTCGACGTGTTCCAGGGTTCGTTTATGAACCGAAAGGGGCTCGCTACAGCCCAATACCCATGAAAGGAAATGATTCTCCATATTTGGGCCGTCCAGGAAAGGCCAACTCCCACGTCCAGGAAAGGCCAACTCCCATAATTCGATGTGGGCGCAAGCTTCAGCCGGGACACCGGTTTAAGTTTTAGGGTTTAGAGTTCCTTGTGCAAGAAATCCGAGGTCAAGAACTTGGGGTTTGAGTTTTCCAAGTTTGATTTTGTGAGTAATCGCCACGTCTCAGGCTTCAGGTATTGCTCGATGGGTGAATCTGGGAGGTGCATGGTTTCCGGGCTCTTGGCACAGATGGGTGTGACGCTTTGGAGCGATATCGCTTCGTGCCAAAGCTTCAGGCTTGGTTCTTTTGGGCATCGGGGTTTGGAGTGACCATATCAAGCAGCCGCGTGCAAGTCACTGCTGCTGGCCGATTCACACTTGGGCACGCTACGAACCCACGCGAGTCCGGTTGTCACCTTCCGACACTTGATCTCACCCAACCCCCTTAAAGTCAGCTTGTTGCGTTCGTCCCGCCTGATCACTCAAAGTCCCGACTACAGATGCTCCCAAGCAATACATAAAGGCTTGAGCAAAGGTCAAAGAAACCGACAGCCCCGAGCATTCGTATAAACCCTCAGCCAGCAGTTTTCGGAGCAGCTTCACCAGAAGCTCCGAACCTCGCCAGGAACAATGTTATAAAATTTCCCCGCAAGCCCCAGAGCCCTAAACTTAAGGGGTACTTAGAAGTGATTTTTTATTTTTTGGTTATAATCCCTAAGAAGCAGCAAAAATTACAATCTTTGCTAGGGTTCTAAGTTCAGTATAGTAAAGCTCTAGGCTTCAATAGCTTTCAGGGTTCAGGGCTCAGAGCTCGGCAACTCTCCACCCGCTTGGACGGCGCGCCATGCTGCATGTCTGCCTGCTTCTTAGCCTCTGGGGCTTGGGTGATGTAAACAGTTTTGAGCAGTGCAGTGTAGACAACTGTTAAAGCCTCAAAGCCCGTGCCAGTACTCCTTGAGTTTCCTGTTCTGGTGGGAGTGACATGTCCAAGCCCTTCTTCAGCTTAATTCGTCGCCAGTGTTGCCCTAAACATAAGTTTCAGAAACCGTGATTGGATATGGTATGGCCTGGGGTTGTGGGCTCAGACTCATTCAACACATGCATGCCTTCCGGCAAGCTGCTTGAGGGTCCGGGCTTTGATGGTTGATGCCTGAAGGCCAAATTTGAAGGCTGAGCTGCAAAGCTTTGCCGAAAAGTGGAGACCCCAATGCAGATACACCTAAGTGCAACCAGCCATGATATCGAGAACAACAGTCATCACGAAGGTCTCAACCATGCCAGAAGAGCAGCCTCAGCAGTGGCACGACCAGTTGAAGTTGTCGCTTTAACATTGTCTGCAAGACTACGGCCCTAAGTCCCAAACCCTACAAGCTCAGCATTCGAACCCTTGAGGCTAGAGCCCTAAACCCTAAACCCTAAACAATAATGGCGAGAACAACGAGAACAGGAGGAATGATGATGCATAACCGCAGTTCTAGGAGTTTAATCGGAATGCTAGAGCGAAGAAGCGGCATTGTAGTTGCAAGACGAGTCATATCAGCATAGCATTATTCATGAGAATACCACGAAGGATCGGAGGACGCCGCCCAAGGGCTTAGGCTTCCTTTAAGGCGGTACGGGTTTCCATAAGGGTGTAGGCTCCACGGATGAAGTCGATCATGGCCAACAGTGCCGGTGTCTCAGCCATCTTCAAGCAGGACTTCAGGGGCAAACAACGCCAGGCCCTTATGCAAAGCGCTGTTTGTTGAAGATAAGACCGGCACTAAGCCTACTCGTATCCTAGGACCCAGAGTAGGCCCTTATTCCCTTTTTTAGGGTTTGGGTTCCATTATAATCCCCTTGAAACCAAAAAGGGCACCCTTTTTATTCCTAGGTTGCTCTTAGGTCTAGTATCTCTGACGTGTCTGCATCACAACGCACTAGATCCCCAAATGTACCAGTTTGCACCTAGCCGTTATCCCTAAAGAACCCCAGGAGGCCACCCTAGGGTTTAGATTCTTTATAGAAAAATATTCTGCTCCAAAAAGAGAGCCCTTTCTACTCCTAGGATACTGGGGATCCTTAGCATCCTGGCGCATAATCGGCCCGAAATGATGCGATGGGCTTCCTTGCTGCTGCTGCCTCTGGTCTGGGCTGGCCCCGACGCTTTGGGACAGGTGGGCGCAATTACCCGAAGATTGAGGGCCTGACTGTAACATGTGCTCTAGGCTTCATTCTTGTGCTCCCTTCTCCACTAGGTACGGGTCCAGGTGCCCATGTCATGGTGTCGAGTGTCTTCGAGCAGAGTCCCAAACCCAGGACCCTAAACTCTTAATCGGTGCATGAGATTTACCCTCGCATTTTGGGTGGGAATCCTAAACCTAAACCCTGAAACATACACGATCGCAGACCGAAGAGCCCTACAAGACCAAGCACATACGCCCGCCTACCCAAGCCCTAAATCCTAAGCCGAGACGCCACATAGACTCAAAACCATGGACCTGAACTCACGCAACTCTTACAAGTATAAAAGGCATCTAAAACCCAGCACAGAACCCTAATCAGCCCCAACCCCAACGGTCCCAAACACTCAACCCACATCAACAAACAGCCCATCAACAAACAGCCCTGAACCCAACCCCCCAAAGCAACCTCGACAGAGAAGGTCCTGGCACCAAGGGCCAATGATTAGGTATTTGGGTGTAAGGGTCCAGTGTTAGGGGTTTAGGGTCTTTAGGGTTTCTGTGGTATGGTAGTAATGGGGTCGTATCTATTTCGGGGGAATCTATGCTTATGAGGTGTTTCCAAGGGGCTGAGCCCTAAAGCCTAAAGCCCTGATTCCTGAGCCACGAGCCACGGGGGCTTCGTTCGAAGGGGACAAATCTTGGGACTCTTCTTCGTCGTCTTCGTCCTGTGATGCCTAAACCCTGAGCCCGATGTTGTTGTTATGAAGGCGGTGAGCCTGTCATTCCTCCATTCCCTACTAACGAAAGGTAAGAAACCCGAAGCCCCTAAACCCTAACCCCTAAACCCTAAACCCTAACCCCCCAAAACCCTAAACCCTAACCCCCTAAACCCTAAACCCTAAACCCTAACCCCCTAAACCCTAAACCCAAATTCCTAAAGGTAAGGTTTGCCCAGATCGCAGGTTCTGACCGACTCGGAGGTCACTCCTTTGGACCTTGCTCGGCAAACTGATGCCGAGAAGGAGCGTGGCATGGCACTTGATACTTACTTTTAGGGTTTTGGGGCTTTAGGGTTTAGGGCTTAGGGTTTACTTACCTTTGGTTAGTAAGGAATGGAGGAATGAGGTAGAACTACAACTACTACTACTACTACTACTACTACTACTACTACTACTACCATTCTTCATTTCCCTACTAACCAAAGGTAAGAAGCCTCGGGTGTTTCGGCGTGGGAAGAGTACTTGAGGTTAGCGGTTGAGGCACTTCGGACTCGTGTTTCGCATTTACCGCCACCAAGGAGATCGAGGCTTTTCGACACTGACTTTTGCCAGGTTTTTGGTAGAGTTTGTGGCAGACTCGCTTGGGGCAGCGGTGCCAGAAAGGTCTAGACAGGAATGGCGTAGACTTGGCAACTTCACCTCGTGGCGAGACTGTGGGGGGGTTGAATTAATTCGTGATCGTATTTATTCCTTTGTAGTCACTATGCACCCTTAGCCGTTCATAGTTAGGGCTTATGGTTTCGCATGGCTTAGTGTTCATATTACCACTGCATTCTGTGTTATTTTTGCTATTCTGCTGAAAGGCTTAAAGGGTTTAGGGTTCATATTACCACAATAAACTGATGACAGGAATGATAGCCTGCCGTTGCGTGGTTGTGGGGCTACATCTAGTGCCTTCCCCAAGCCTCACGCCAACCCTGCGGCGAGAAGTTCTCAAGCTCGAGAAGATCTCAAGAATTCATATGCCCCAACTCTACAGCGAAGACCAGAAGCTTAACTACTCTAATATCATGCCTAAGCCCTATGAAGCCTGAACCTTACAGCCTTGACTCCACGTCGTCGAAGTGCTGAGGCGAAAGGTGCGGACCCTTCTTCGAGTTCTTCGAGAAGCGGTGCAAGGCCTCCGACAGCCCTTCGGCCATTTAGGGTAGTCGTGGCGATGCGAATTATATAAGCCCCTGAATGATTAGCAATGGTATCCCATCGGTGTAGCACACCTCACTTTCACTTTGCTAAGGCACCTGCAGTTCTTTTAGTCGCAATGTCAATGTGCAGCTATCAGTAGCAGTAGCCGCCGTCCTCCTCCTCTCCTCCTCATCATCATCGTCATCATCATCACCATCATTTCATCATCATCGTCTTCATGATCATCATTATCATTCCCATCCTCGTGCTCATCTTTCGTCATCATCATTATCATCATCACCATCGTGTGCAGTGTTGCTATGCAGCCGCACCGCAACACCTGCAGCGCACAGCAATTAGATCAGCAGATGACCCCTCGCACAGTTGGGGTGATGCCATGTTCTCTTCGAAAACGATTGGAACCCCTAAGACCCTACCTAGACCCCCAAAAGCAGGTAGAATAATGGCCCAAAACCTATAAAAGGCTATTATTTTACATACTTTTGGGGTCCAGGTAAGGCCAAAGCGCCCCTCACTCTACCAGCCACCCAAGGCCAGGCTACCTTCAAGTGCATGGGAGGCCTCCGAACCTTCTCGTGGCTCCTCCTGTGATTACAGGGGCCTTATCTAATAGGGTTTATGGTACTTGGAGGATTTGGTGTATATTGATTACATTTAGAGAAAGGTTTTGGGGTATGCTATATGAGAAGGGACTGACTACAGTCCTTTCCGTACTATTTCGAGTTTTGGGATACACCATAGTTGTATGTATAGGAATTATACCGGAACTACGTCATACACTGACTATTCAGACCCTGCATTGCGCCTCGAGCTCGAACTTTGCAGTTTGAAGGTTTGATTTAAACGATGGTCTGAGTCTAAGTGTTTGGGTCTTCAAGCCTAAGTTTTTGAGTTTCAGGGCCTTGAAACATAGCCAGCGACCTCAGCCAGCCATTCACAAAAAGTTAGGGCCATTGGGTTTGGACCAGGGCCTTGGGCGTTTGTTCAGTTTTTTGGGTTTGGTGTACAGGCGGGGCTCTGCACTAATGGGTTGCGTTGTAGAAGGGGTGGGTAACATCTGCAACAAGAGCATGCGAGCTATTCACACAGCTTTGTTGCTGGTACCATCATGCCTGGCAGCAGCCGGCGCATGATGAATATTTATGGCTGCGAATACAGTACGAGCAGTGGTCGAAGAAGTTGTTCGCAATGCTCCTTCCCGTCACTGTGTTGGAGGAGCTTGACTTACGGTCCACAACATCCAACATTTGCACGTCCGTGCCAAGCCACGGCAAGGTCCTGCAAGCCACGTGCACGAACTTACATGCATTCAAACGACTTCAGGAACAGTACTGAACCCCGTAACTCACAAAAGCCTGCTAAACGGCCAAGAAGTCTGTAACACTGTCGCCAAGTTCTCCGGCCCAGTAGGAACCAACAACATAAGGAGACAAACTCACGGGCCGAATACTGCACCGGCTCTGTAGCCACAAGGGTCTAAACCCAAGCTGACCTCAAACGCATCCACTCAAATCCTCTACTTCGACCGAAGCTCCAAGAAACTCCAAACCCTTATAGACCCTAAACCCCTAAACCATCCTAACCTGTAAAACCCGCGATGACCCCTAAACCCTAAATGGCCCTAAATGAACCCTAAACCCCTAATCCCCAAACCCTTGCTGTCCTGGCGTTTGCGCCTCTCGGAGACCTTCGGGCGTCGGCAGAAAAGGAGTTCAAAAAAAAAACCCAACTCCCAAACCCTACACAAACCCTCAATCCTTACATGCCCTTGAACTCCTGAGCTCTTACACCTAGATCCGGATCGCAGGCGTGAGATCAGAAGGGCCCCAGGGACAAGTGGAAGACAGCTGCTTGTTGAAAGATCACCAGAGTTAAGGGTTTCTATAAGGAGCCCGTTAGCATCCTCTACGGGCTCCTTTAAGGGGATCTTTAATGCGTTCTTTTTAAGGGGTCTGTTAAAGGGTTCTTTTACAGGGATCTTTGAAAGGGTTCCTTTAAGGGGATTCTTGTTTGGGGTTTAGGGTTTATGTCGGTTTAGTGTTTGGGGTTTGGGGTCTCAGTTTTGTCGTTTAGGCACAAGATTGCAAGTTTCTGTGTTGGGGTTACGTGGTGCAAGGGAGGAGTCGGCTTGACCTACTTAAAGGAACATGGGTCTTAGTAACTAAGGTTGTTATTCGGGTAACTATACTGATAACTACTTACAACCCCAATTAAGGTACTTATAACCATACTTAGTATGTCCGATCTTCCAAGTAGCAAGGCCCCGGATATCTTCCAGACTCAGTCGAACCCACACAGACAGCCTTCAGAAGCAACCTTTACTGGACCTTTACAGGAACTCCACTTGGAGGATCATGGGACATAGCAACCAGGGTTATACTTGAGGTAAGTACAGTTTTAGCTACTTAAACTAGGGTGCAGGTAACCTTACTAAGAAGCAAGGTCCTCCAAGTAACGGTTCCCAGACCCCGAAGGATCTGAAAGGGAAGATCCTCACGCGGGTACTTTATTGGAACCCCCTTTATGGGATCTACTTTCCAGAGGAGCCCTTCAACATTCTAGGCACTTTTGGGGTTTAGGGTATTTATTGTTCTCGGTTCCTTTAAGGGGTCTACAGAGGTACACTATAGAGCTTTGCGTAATTGTGGTTCCCTAGAACCTCCGTTGGGAGGGTTCCTTTGCGGGTTCTTCAAGGGTTCCTTTGGTTGCACAATTGTTGCTAAAAGGGGTTTGAGGTTTTGGGTTTATGGATCCATGCACATACTATAGAGAATACTTCAAACTTTGACCCAGATAGGAACCCCTTGAAGGTCATCGGATGTAACTCACGGGCAGTTCTCTACACTGGGGTCCTTTTAGGATCCGTTTTAGAAGGGTGCTGCACTATGCTTGGGACCCAAAAAGGAGCCGCAGTTAGAGAATTACCATAGAGGTACATGGAAACGTAGGGTAAGGGGAACATTGAGGGGTGCCAGTCGAGCTCAGGCTTGGATTTGGGTTCGGCTTGGGGTTAGGGTTTACCTAGAGGGTCATACTGTCATACCGAAAGCCGCAAGCCTTTTTGAGGGTGACTAGTTTTGTGGATAGGATCTGTTACATAGAATAGTAGGTGTCCGAAAGAAGGGGTAGCGTATGACCCTGCAGGTAGGGTTTAGTCGAAGGGCTCATGGTCTTGGAAGCGTTTGCAGACTATGAGCCCTGGATTCATAACTCATGTCGGCTTGAAACCTGAAAAGCATGGTTGAGGGTTCAGGACGCAAGGTAAACCGATTCTGCGGGCTGTTTGAAAGAGACGACCTCCTATTCGTAGGGTAGGTCACCTTTGACCCTTGTTGGGGTACGGTTGATGATATAAATCCTTCATTACCCATAATAAGGAATATACCACAATTCCCATAGTTTAGGGTCCCCAAAGACCAACCGTATACTATATCATGGTTTTGGGGACCCTTTAACATGACTCCATAATAGAAGTACACAGTATACATGGACCCTCTTGGTTCAGGAACTGGAAAAATTATCCCCGCAGTACCCAGAGGCCCCAAAGTAGTTCCTTTTTGGGATTACTTTTTAGGATTCTATATATGAACCCCAAAAAGGAACTACTTCGGGGCCTTAGGGTAGAGACTCCCCCCTCGGCGCATGCCGACCCAGGCTTCAAATGGTGCGAGGACCAGGACCGAAGAGCTCACCGCTGACATTCCGGTGGGGGTCTAGGAATTGTGGGTTCAGGATGGTTTAGGCTGTGTGCTTCCGATTGGCGCAAACTTCAGGTGAGGGTTTAGCATGCTGTTTCTTCGGCTTTGTGTGATCGTCTCGGTCGTCGGGAGCTGCCTAACCATCGACAATGACATCTTCTTCATGGATGTTCTCTGTGAAGTCTTACGGGTTCACAATGTCTAGGATGTCGTCTGTCAGACTGCGGAGTGAAGTTTAGGTGGACGGATACAAAAGGTCAAATCTAGACTTCAGAGTCCGAGTTCCTGCAATTTTATACATGTCAGAGTATGCACTAATGTAATATCTGCCTATATGGGTATGTATGCATTATTTATATATACATGCATATGCACCTACCCACATGCATACACCCTCTGTCTTCGGGTTCTCATATTTCGTCTGCATATCTTGTCGCAGAACCCCTAACCCCAAAAAGCGGGTTCAGAGTTGTCACTTGTTTGAGCCCTACTTGGAGGATCATGCGACCTAGTAAGTACTTAGTAGCTGAGTTTATGAACTTTAAACTTTATGGGATAATGAAACCCTCTTAAAACTGAAAGTTTAAACTTTTTTTGGCTTATGAACTCGGCACCTAAGAGTAAAAAGTACCCTTTTTACAGGGGCTGTAAAGAATTATTACGACAGCTATAGTTACTAAGTTCCATGATCCTCTAAGTAACTCTTCATCGCTCGGCTCCTGTCGGTCAGGATCCCTTCTTGTTCAAATGGGGTGAGCCCGTCTGTTACGTCCACTCGTCTCCCGACTCTTCCTTGTGGAGATTTGGCAGCACAGAAGCCCACGGGTCACTGGGCTTCGGAGGTCAAAGTTTTGGGTTTAACTCCGCAACCTAGCCATATTATGAACTCCTAAGCTTTAAAGCCTGAACAACCGGTGAGATTTCGGGTTGGGAGAGTTTCAGTACCCTGAATCCCTAATTATTTGAGGGTGTTGGGAGAGTTGGAGTCTATAGTAGGTGCCAGACTTGAGACGAACATACAGGGGGCAGAATGTTAGTAATCTTTTCAAGCCCGCAGCTTAAAACCCTACAGGCAGACGCCACAAGCTAAAAGTTACGAACTCAGCCGGCCGTTCATTGCTTCACACCGCCATTCTGAGCCGAGTCTGGAACCTGGGTATTTTGGAAGAAAGGTTTAGGCTTTAGAGTTTCGGCTTTCAGGTCTAGGATTTCGTGAACAGGGTTTGGGTTTGAAGGATTTCAGATTCAGTAGGGCTTACGAAATGCGGTATCCAAGTCACTGAGCTAAAATCTACCACAATCCTAAACCCTAAACACCTAAGCCCTTAAACCGCGAAACCCCGAAGCCTCCTGCAGCAAAGGGCCATGGTCTGGTGTCCTCGCTGTTTAGGCCGCCGTCTTCAGCTGTTGTCGAATTGCTTGGGGCATAGGCTCGGGAAATGGGTTCAGAGGTTTTAGGGTTTTCGGGTTTAGGGCTTTAGGTCTTTATGGTTGCATTTTGTTCGTTTGAACTTGTGCTCTGCGTGTTCGCAGGCTGGAGTGGAGGGCTGAAGAGATTAGTCGCCAGAGACTCCAATATCCCTTAATTAAGGAATATTCTTTAAATCATATGAGGGATCCTACTATAATTTGAGGTATATTCCTTAATTAAGGGATATTGGAGTCTCTAGGCGGGCTTCAAGAGGTTTGGAGTCAACACGTCGTTGACCTAAAAGCCTTCACCCATCTGTGGCCTATTCTGCTTTAAGTCGCATTGCCATGGAATGGGACTTCGCGACTATGGCTCCACGTACGGTAACTATTGTATTATAACTACTTTTGACCCCAATCATGCCAATTAGGATACTACTAATAACTTACAGCCTTACCTAGTACTCCCCTGATCCTTCAAGTGGACACTAAACCCCGCGCTAAACCCTGAACCCTTATAGTACCCCCATAGATCCCTCGAGGGCCCCTTCAAGAAACCCAGTTATTCTTGCATGTTGCAGTTAGTCGGTAGACACGCTCTGAGGCAAGAATCTCGAGGAGAGGTGTCATGTCTTGTTGTATGCGCGGCACGACACATTGGATCTTCAACTCCAGAACCTCAAGAGGTAGAAATGTCTTTCTCGATTGAACCTTCAGCAACCCTAAACACCCCGAGCCCACGGCCGACGCCCTTCGGAGTGCTGATTTTTTACCCGCCCGGTTTTCCGGCGTCAATATGTTTATGCCGGTGCTGATTTAGTCTTGAGCCTTACCTCAAGGGTCCAAGCACCAATAATAATAGTAAGATAATGATAACTGAATACCAAAGATTTATCCGACAAAGCAGTGATCCTAAAGCCAAGTGCCTATTGATTACAGCCACGGCCCTTGTCTCCACGGCCTCTGTACATGTCATGTGCCAGGCAGTTTTTGCCTCGAGCCGATCACGTTCTATCTCATCATCGCAGCCGTGTTGCCCGGTTGTACGATTAAGGGTTTAGGGATTTTAAAGTTTGAGGGTTTGGGGTTTCATATGTTCCCTTATTGGGCTTCTCTTTAGATTGCCTTGTCGTCGGGCCTACATCCAGGCGCCTTCTTACTCCAAAGCGCTTTCACCCGCTTGGGCTAGTCAATGAAAGCTGCGGATCCGAAACCCTAAACCCTTAACCCTTAAACCCTAAACCCTAAACTCTAAACCACAAGCCTTGAACGGGTGAGATGAATGGGATTTGGTTTCCGACAATGATGCTGACTAGCTACTACCGAAGGATGGGAAGAACAGGCAGTGGTAGCAGGAGCAACAGGAGCAGCAGGAGCAGCAGGAGCAGGATGGTAGTGGCAGTAGTCATAGTAGTAGTCGTAATAGTCGTCGTAGTAGTAGTCGTAGCAGTAGTAGTAGTAGTAGTAGTAGTAGTAGTAGTAGTAGTAGTAGTAGTAGTAGTAGTAGTAGTAGTAGTAGTAGTAGTAGTAGTAGTCGTAGTAGCAGTAGTAGTAGTAGCAGTAGTAGCAGTAGTAGCAGTAGTAGCAGTAGTAGCAGTAGTAGCAGTAGTAGCAGTAGTAGCAGTAGTAGCAGTAGTAGCAGTAGTAGCAGTAGTCTCAGTAGCAGTAGTAGCAGTAGTAGCAGTAGTAGCAGTAGTAGCAGTAGTAGCAGCAGTAGTAGTAGTAGTAGTAGTAGTAGCATTTGTAAAAGTAGTAAAAGTAGAAGTAGAGGTAGAAGTAGAAGTCAAAGTTGTAGTAGTCGTCGTCGTAGTGGTAGTAGGAGCGGCAGCGGCAGGAGGAGGAGGAGTAGTAGTACCAAAAGTTAGTAAGGGGTACGAACAGGAGTGCAACGTTTTAAACGACGATCGCAGCCGCTTCTGGTTTCAAGCGATGCCCGCCAGGTTCCTGCTCTGCAATTGCGCCTGCTGTCGCTTCGACGAAATGGCATCGACTAGGGACTTTAGTCACTTTACGAGTCGATGTGTTACGCATGTTGCAGCTCCAGGTGAGGTAGTCGAATTAAGATACACGGTTCTGACCTGCCCCCCCCCCTCCCCGGTCCGGCCAGAAACTCTTCCCCCGAGGTGCATTGATTTGCCGATGTGTCTACAAGAAAGCGGATGAACATGACATTCCGCGACGTCGCTGGGCTACATGAGTGTTCCGAACTGTGCGTGCCTTTTTCAGTACTTGATTCTGCTTTAGTAATGGTTCTCGAACGGTGCCTGGCACAGAACTTTTCTCTACATGCGACTTCTCGAACCAAAAAGTCAGGACTTCAGGCATTTGGATACATCGGTTGTGTCGATCCATCTTTTGTTTGACGATACCATTGCTTGCCCTAGCCCTAAACCCTAAACCGCAAACCCCATTCGCCTGGAGAGCTATCCCCATAATAACAATAATCATGATCATAGTCCTGATTAATCATGATCCTCAAGCCCTGTAAACTTTGAGAGTCTAGGCAAGCCGTAATCCTAAACCCAGGCGTCCGTGCCTCGATCGTCGGAGCGGTGGGACGTCCGAGCACGCGACCGTCTCAGATGGGCGTGGCGCCTTGGCTTCATAGGGGTACCTTATTTTGGGGTCCTTATAATAAGCATCCTACTAGTGAGGGTACCATATTATCTATAGGGTCCCCTATTTTCGGAAACCCTCATTTCGCCGCTTCGTGTTTGATTGCGCTGAGGCTGTCTGGCATCAGTGTATGAGGTTCTGGTATAGGGTTGGAGAGTCTTTGGAACTTGGGGCTTGGAGTTTTAGGGTGCTGGCGTTCTTCTTTCAGGGCCGCACTCATCCAGAAGTGTATCCGGAAGTAGCTGGAAAAAAAGACGACACCACCAAAACCTACCACCCTAAACTTCTCTAAGCCGTAAAAGAACATAAAACCGTCTAAACCCTAAACACTAAGCCTTATACCCTGAATGAACTGTAGTTTCGCAGCCCGAGCTGTGACCGAGGAATCTATGCTTAAGCTCCATGTCCCAAACCCCTTAACAATCCCGAGCCGAAAGCCTCGAACCCTGAAACTTGCACAGTAGTACAGTATGTGATATAGTAGACTGTGGTACATTATGGAACAGTGTAGTTTAGTATAATATAGTACATTATAGGAGAACGGTGCCATGGCTTTCTGCCGAAGTCTTCGTAGATGCCTCTGGGCTGGTACGTCATCCGCGGGTGGCTTAAGTGTATCCCGAAGCCAGAGCTATAGTCTCCACAGGAGTCATGTTTTCATTCTGGTTTTAAAACCCAAGAGGACATTACATTTTTCATGTTTTTTCATGTTGATTATGGTTCTAAAAGAGGGGTATGAGAGCAGGCCCACCTTGGTCATCGTTTGTTCCAGGATCAAGAGGAAGCCGGCGTAAGACCGTGGAATACCCATCAAAAGAACTCGAGCGCCAAGAGACCCGTGTGTACTGTACTTGCATCAAGTGATGAGACGGCAGAATAGAACTTTCGCCTGTTCAAGAGCTTATCGCATCTGCAAAGGTCCTGCATAACCCGGGCACCAGCACAATCGCGCATTAACCAGTTCTAGACCACACAATGGAGCAGGCAAGCCTTACAGCGTACGCTCTAAACCCTAAAGCCACAAAGCTTTGTCATAGTTGGGTATCATTGTACATATTCATGATGCTGAAACATGTTTTAAATACTCTCCCAACCACGAACTAGAAAATCCCGAAGCACGACTTAACCTGGGTCCTCAGGAGCTGAACGACCTGCAGAGAAATGCCTGAGGGCTCCTTGGGCAAGGTGGACGATGGAGGTCTTCCGCCGGCAGGCTCAGGGGTTATGCTGTTCATGCGCGAGGTGTTCAGGGGTGAGGCATGTTTGCGATCGATGTTGCACTGGTCATAGCAGCGATCAATCCTGGTCCTACTATCGCTTTCGGATGGGCCAGTTCGATAGGAATCTGCCTACCATATCATTGCGATTTGCTCGGCATAGCCGTTTTCTCTCCAAAAGCGCACACAGAAACACACTCTCTCTCTCTCTGTCTCTCTGTCTCTCTGTCTCTCTCTCTCTCTCTCTCTCTCTCTCACGGATACGGAGAAAGTGCCAGAGAGGGAGCGGCAAACAGAGAGAGAGAGCGAGAGCGTGAGCGAGAGGGATAGATTCGGATAGATGGACGGAAGGAAGGATGGATGGATGGCTGGATGGATTGCGCCGAGTCGATAGATAGGTAGGTGAAACATAGTTTGATAGCTACGTAGATACTTGGCTGCCTAGGTAAGTAGACAGATAGTTCCACTGGTTAGACGGACAGATATGTAGGCGAGAGATAGATATGTAGATATGTAGATAGGTAGATATATCATATATATATATATATATATATATATATATAGATAGACAGAAGATAGATCGATAGATACATAGATACACGATCACATTCATAGATAGGTAGACAAATAAATAGGTCGATAGATAGATAGACGAATGGAAAGATAAAATGATGGCTAGCTGGCTCGTTGAGATATATAGATGGAGGAATCCTTAGATCAACCCTGAAGGAATCCCAATTCTGTCTGAGGCTGAAACTTGCACCTGCACTGCCCATGCAATCGCTTTGACCGCCGACCTGTCTTAGGCAGAAAAAGGCATTGCCCGCTACAGAGTATAGGCTAGAGTTTTACATGCGAGGAGATATCTTAGAGCCTGTAGTTTAGAGGTGTCATGAGGGATCTATAAGGGTTTCCGTTTGAGCCTTTCGTAGATGCGATAGGATTCTTCAGGGAGGGTAGTCAGAGGCGGCAGAGTGCTAGGCACCCTTAGAGAATCCTGGGTTTAGGACACACTAGAGTTTGGGGTTTAGGGTTCTTAGGGTTCAGAGCAGAGCATGTCCCTGAATGTTGATGTAGGGTGTAGGGTTTGCAAACTCCTCAAAGCCCAATAACGAGTTGCTATTCCCCTAGCTTTCGTACCCTTTTGTGCCCTTTTTAGCTTAGTAAAAATTCAATAGTAGGAACAAGGGTACCCTTACAGTGAAGGGGCTATATACTCAGGAACCTAGCCATAGAATAGCTTCCTGGGCCCCAAAACCCAATTCTAATTGTTAAGGCCCCAAGGAGCCCCAAACCCTAAACCCTCAACCCTAAAATCCTCATTCCCTGAAGCCCTCATAAATCCCTTTAAGGCTCCTCCTGGTAAAGGAATTCTAGCTGCTAGACAGGTGGAAAAGAGCCCTCACCAACAAAAATCCGAAATTCCCTAAACCCTAATGGTAGCTTCGACTGAGCAGGCCGGCCTTGAGCAATGAACGGAGCAGAAACACAACAGCCGCCCTAAGCCCTGAGCCCTTACCTAGACCCCAAAAGTAGCTAAAATAATGGCCCACAACCTATAAAAGGCTATTATCCTACGTACTTTTGGGGTCCAGATATCTAAGCCCTGAGTCGACACTTGAAGGCAACTGGGGGTTTCCGAAAATAGGGGACCTTAATGTCGTACCCTAAATAATAGGATTCTTACTAGAAGAACCCCCAAATAAGGCTGAGCCCTTGACCCTTTACACAAAATCTAAGCCCTAAACCCTTCCTGGACCCCGCAACTGCCCTCTAATGTACCCTAAATGCCCACTATTAAGGACCCTAAGGGCTGTATTAGAGGAATCCTAAGCCCCAAGGGTCCAGATGACCCTAATAGTTAGGTAATCGTAGTTTGGGATATTGGAGAGTATACGATTATTAGGTACCTGGACCCTTAGGGTAAGCCCTAAGCCCTTAACCCTAAGCCCTAAACTCTTAACCCTAAACCCTAAACCCTAACTTACGCTGAACCACCCTAAACCCTAAACCCTAAGCCCTAAACTCTAAACCCTAGACCCTAAACCCTAACTTACGCTGAACCACCCTAAACCCTTAACCCTAAACTCTAAAGCCTAAGCCCTAAACCCTAAGCCCTAAGCCCTAAACTCTAAACCCTAAACCCTATAGATCCCTTTAAGGAACCCATGAACCATGAAGCTTCTGCATAGGATTGCGGGGTCAGATGTTGCAAGTCTGGCGTGGACTCTTCGGATTTCGGGGTTCGGGAGCAGGGAGGGTTTAGGGTTTAGGGTTTAGGGTTTAGGGTTTAGGGTTTAGGGTTTAGGGATCTTTACATAAGTAGCACTATACTTCGAAAGTTGGCTTTGTAACCTGTAGTGACTCTAAACTTCAGATCGTTTTAGTTAGGAGCCTCGTCAATCAGAGACTGAAAGAGGGGAAGCTGCGGAGGACTCCAAACCCTGAAGCCGTAGCCTGGCTTTTAAGCCAAACATGTTGAGACAGAAGACGAAGCCGGACCAGAAAGCTAGGAGCCAGAGGAAATCGCTATGAAACCTCTTGAACTACAAAGCAGATAATATCGCCCCAGATATTTCCTTTATAACTGAAGTATAGCATACACCAAAAGCCCTATTCTAATTTTTTCGCCCCTATATGACCCCGGAGCTCCGCTAAGGTGGTGAAGCGAGAGCGCCATGGAAAGAAGAGGACCAAAGGGCTTTAGGGTTTAGGGTTTAGGGTTTTAGGGCTTAGGGTTTAGGGTTTAGGGGTTTAGGGTTTAGGGTTTAGGGCTTAGGGTTTGCAGCTGCTTTCAGGTCGAAGGGTTAAGGGTTTAGGGTATACCCATAGGCCTCAAAGTAGTTCCTTTTTGGGATTACCTTATAGGATTCTAAATATGAACCCCATAAAGGAACTACTTCCGGGCCTTAGTGCATACCTATCGTCTCCATTGTAGTTCCTTTTTGGTTAACCAGCAGCCCCATGGTTAGGATCCTATAACATAGTCTAGGTTCCTGAGTAGTGCCCTTTTGCCCTTTTTAGTTTAGGGTCCCCTTATTAAAACCGAATAGTAGGAAAAAGGGTAGCCTTATTATAAAGGGGTTACTCAGAAACCTAGTAGTTTTAGGTTAGAAGCTGCCCCCCACCCTGTAATAGTGACTATAAGGGTCGTATTAGGACCCTATTATATTCCCATTATACCACTATGACAGAGGGGGCCCCTTCTAAGTTTTAGGTTAACCGAAAAAGGGACTACAATGGAGACTCTAGGTATACCCTAAACCCGAAAGCAGTTGCTTTTTGCGGTTTAGGGGTAATCCCAAAAAGGACCTACAATGGAGACTCTAGGTAGACCCTAAACCCTAAACCCTAAAACCCTAAAGCCCTAAAACCCAAACCCTGAAACCCTAAACCCCAAACCCTAAAACCCTAAAGCCCTAAACCCTAAAGCCCAAAACCCCAAACCCTAAAACCCTAAAACCCTAAACCCTAAAACAGGGAGAAGGGTCGCAGTTCTGTCCTCCTGTAGACAACGAACAGCGCAGTTCGACATCCGCACGTTGCTGCAGGAAGCGGAGCCACTCCGAAGGAGGTCGCCGTCATGAAGACATGGATCAGCGATTAGGGTTTAGGGTTGACGGGTTGAGGTGTTTAGGGTTGAGGGGTTTAGGGCTTCGGGGTTTGGGGCCAAAGTTTTTTGGGTTGAGGGGTTTAGGGGTTCAGGGCTTAGGGGTTTGGCACAGCAAATTGTCCATATTTCCTGGCTGATGATGTCAGGGCAGGCATGCCCCTACCGGTCCAATGCTGGCCTTTGCGCCTGCCTCTAAGGGGCCTGCCGCCGGACCTCCTGAAGCATGGCCACTCCCTGACGGGGTGGTGTTCTACCCCCTGTTATGCCAGACATACCTGCAACAGGGTTGGTGGTAGCCACAGAGAAGATAGGCGGCCGCGGCCGCTACAGCCAGGCACGGCGCACTCACTTTTGCATAGTGCAGTGCCTCAAGTGCAAGAGAGAGCCCTGCAACAAGCGGATGGAGGCAGAGATCGACGGCCACTGAGCAGGCCGGTGTCGGATAGAGCCCGGCGCCCACACCGGCGGCATTTTTGTGATCGTTGCCGCTAGAGCTGCATCTGTGATCTGCGACTCAGGGTTTACGGTGAGTCGACTGTGAAGGACTGTGAAGAGGGGTCGAAATATGCGAGGAAACCCCAAGCATGTCCATCTGACAGGGCTGAGGTTTGAGGGTCTTTGGTTCAGAGAGGTGTGGGGGTTAGAGGTTTGAAAGCAAAGCGGTTTAGGGTAGCTGCCGCTTATGTGTGTAGACCTTTTGCTTCGAACTAGAGCCTTGGGAGGATGTGGCAGCTCCGATTGTTACCCTAAATACTAAACCCCACCTGAACCTACCAAAGCCTACAAAAAAAGTAGGGTCCCCAGAAATTCCATAGTAGGGTTTATCATCAGAACCTACAAAAAAGGTAGGGTTTGGTAGGTTAAGGTATAGAAAGGGCTTTGGGCCCTCTTTCAGAACGCAAGATGCATGGGCCCCAGGACCAGAACTGGAATGGCTTGCCCCTAAGCCCAGAGAGCCCAATACCCCTTAACTATGGAATATGGCTTAAATTATACAGGGCTTCATATTATGAATTTTAAGCTATATTCCTTAATTAAGGGGTATTGGGCTCTCTGGGTCTAAGGCCTTAGTGAGGTTTAAGCGATTGGGTCTTGGGTTTAAGGTGCATACGGTTTAGGGTTTATATGGCGTTACGGTTGAGAGGTGCATGGCCCAAAGCCCAAGACAGGCAAAGCAGACGAGAGAATACAGCATGGCACAGCATCTCGAATGAGTTTTTTTCTACGGGGGCAACCAACTAAGTCATATGTAGGGACACAAACCAGATGCGCCCATGTAGGGTACCTGTAACTTGCCACGTCCCCGCATTTGCTGCGTAGCTCTAGGTAGCTTGAATAT